AGGGAATGGAGGATATCAAGCTGGCAAGCCAGGCGGCATCCTCGGCGCAGGAAGACGACGATAAGAGCCCCAAGGCTTCTACACAACTTAAACGCCAAGCGACATTTTCTCAACGAGCAACTGTCGATCACGAAGAGTTAGGTAAGCTCGCACGGACGAACACATCCCCCGAGCAGGCCCTATCGTCTCCTCCAATTCCAGCCTTGGCCAACCATCCTATCCCCGAGGTTCCCGTCACAACAACCAACTCTACTTCGGAGCCGGTAGAAGTAGTAAAGTCAAAGGAAGACAAGAAACGAGAGAAAAAAGAGCGCGAGGCGGCGGAGAAGGCTGAGAAGCAGGCGGAGAGGGCTGAGAAGCTAGCTGAGAAGGAGCGTGAGAAGCAGGCGAAGATAGAGGAAAAGAAGCGACAGGAGGAGCGCATCAAGAATCTGCAACAAGCGCGCAAGAGTGAAAGCGACGAACTACAAAAAGCGCTCGAAGAGAGCAAGAAATTGGCGAAGGAAGAAAATGCAAAGAAGAGAGAAAGTGGGAGCTCGAGCCCGTTCGGCCTTCTTGACAGGTCCAAACGAGGCAGCAAGTCGATGGCTAAGCGGAGCTTCAGCTTCTTCCACAGGGAAAAGGGTGACAATTCACACTTTACTAATGGCGAGACCAACGGCGAGCATTCTGAGGGCAAAGACAGCTTAAAGGATCGTCTTAGCTCATCGCTGGGGAGGAAGAAGAGTACCAACATTCTTGCATAAAAAAGACAAACCCCCAACTTGGGTTGTCTGCATGGATTACATAGCTTGTTTATAATTTCGGTGTCTTGCGAGGAGTTGACCGTGTATAATGGAACACTGGATGTTTGGGTGGGTCGAGCTCTACTGCTCGTCAAAAGAATCTCTCCTGTCTGGGGTCAAGCATGTATTCGGGTGAGGGAAGGGAGCCATGCATGACATTTCCTGGTCGTGTCTAGGTGGATCGTCCCCTGGGTAGACTGTAGATAGAGAAATGAACCAACGTTCCTCTTCTACCAGCCAGCCATCGATAAGCGCACTTGATGGTTTCAGTACATTCCCTCGATCAGTGTTGCTCTATGGCTCAGGGATATATAGGTATGTTCAATCTTAGTACACTCTCATGAGCGCGTCTTGAATCGCTCGCTGGATTATGCCCCAGACAAGCAAGACAAGCGATACATGTATGCTCTATCCTCCCCATTCGCAAATTCAAAGTTTGTGCAACGCCGTTTGGATCCAGCGGGTCTTTCCATTTATAAAATTCCATTTTCTCGAAAAGTGTGACGCCTTGACTCCGTGCTCATGATTCTCGTCCTCTCCTAATGCCGTCCCTCCACCGACAAAGAGTACTCCGCCATCAACAAAACAAATCCTCCCGTCGTAAGATGGGTTTAACCCAGGATGAGCAGGTAGAGTATTAGGACGAAATTGACGAAGATCAACGGCACTGCGATGGAAATACGCCCGTTAGTCCGCAAGATCTTGGGTGGGTTGGGAGAGGCGCCCGCCCCGGGCTTGCTAAAAGGTGTGGGATGACATACTTCTCATGATAGTCCGGATGCTGGATATTAGGTTGATGATCTTGCCCTTGACGCTGGTGTCGGGGCCCGCGCCGAAGGAAGGGTCGTGGGATGCGGGGGACAAGCCGACTAAATGGGGGAGAGGATCGAGTTAGTGGTTCGACTTTCTCGTATTTAGGGGTTAATTCTGGTTCGTACTGCGCGCGAGGAAGCGATCCTCGGAGAGGACGGCGACGGCGTTGACGAGGAGGACGTTGACTAGAGAGAGCGGGCGGTTAGCCGTGGTGGTCGCATCGGGGGGGTTCGATGGTGTTTCGTACTCCAGACGAAGTTGCCGACCAGGTAGGTAATTGGTCCGGGGACGAGAGCGGTGGCCATTTTGATTGCGGGTGTTAGAGATTTGTCGTCGGGTGATGGGTGTTGGTGAGAGGTAGGGGGAGTGGTCGAGAAGAGTGTTGACAGGTATGCGATCGCTTTAGAAGCTATTCCCGTAGACTGCTGGAGTTGACAGCTAAGAATAAATGGTTGAGGCGGGCGGGCTAAGATTGAACCGATCCGATTAGCCCCTGTAAAGTGTTCTTAACAGGCCAAACGCTCTGCAGTGCAACGCCTGGAACCGCTAGTGCAGTGCTCAGCCGCCTCCCTAAAGACAAACGACAGCGGTGCCTCATCCCTGCTGCCAGTCAACTCTTCCTGAGCCTCTACATATCACAGAGACATTCACTCGGCTCTTTCTTTCCTCCTTCTCTCTCCTGTGAGCTAGTCACACGGCCTACGGCGAGAGACTCAAAACTTTGTAATTCTAAATGGAGCATTGAGCCGCCGATCACATTCAATCCGGCACCATGAGGTTCCTAGGTATGAGAATGAGCTTCACACATCCCAACTATACGCATGACCCCAGCAACGAAACAAGTGAAGTGTTAAGCTGACTTTAATGCCATCCGCTCACATCCAAAAGACTACGTCTCCGTCTCTCTCTTATTTGTCTTGCCGCTTCTTCATCTCCTCTACGCGCCATACACCAAAGTTGAGGAGTCCTTCAACCTGCAGGCAACCCATGACATCCTCGTCTATGGCACACCCGTTTCGGGGGATGTCTATGAACGCCTGAGCACTACTTACGATCACTTCACCTTCCCCGGGGTCGTTCCCCGCACCTTCATTGGTCCTGTACTTCTCTCCGGCGTCAGCCAGCCCTTGATTGCCCTGTTGGGATTCCGCCATGCGCAGCTCATCGTCAGGGCCGTTCTAGGCGCCTTCAACGCCGGCTGCCTGGTCGTCTTCAGGAACTCTCTGGCAAACGCCTACGGTGTCGGCGCCGCCAGGTGGTGGGTGGCTCTCCTGGTTTCTCAATTTCACGTCATCTTTTACCTGACGCGGACATTGCCTAATATGTTCGCCTTTGGTCCCAGTAAGTATCTTGTCCCACGAAGCCTGTTAAGCATTGATCCTCCTGATGCCGCCTGTGTAAATAACAACTAACAACATGGCAATCAGCTACCCTTGCCTTCGCCTTCCTTCTTCCACGGGCTTCAGAGCCGAGAGCTTGGAACCGCCGAAAGCAAGCCATATGCCTTCTTACCATGGCCACCGCCGTCTTCAGGTCGGAACTGGCTATCCTCCTCACCGGGACTGGAGCCTATCTTCTCCTTAACCGCCACATCACAGTCAGGGCTCTAGCCATTTCCTTCTTCGCTGCGTTTTACATCTCCCTCCTGATATCAGTTCCAATCGACTCGTACTTCTGGCAAAAGTTCCTGTGGCCTGAACTCTCGGCCTTTTATTACAATGCCATCGAGGGCTCGTCTTCCAACTGGGGTGTGTCGCCCTGGCACTACTACTTCTCATCCGCCCTCCCTCGCCTCATGATCAACCCTCTCGCCGGCCCCCTCATACTCCTGGCACTCTTTCAACCGGGAACATCGAACAGCGCAAGGCAGCTGCTGATACCCAGCCTCTTCTTCCTGACCGTCTACTCCTTCCAACCCCACAAGGAAACGCGGTTCATCTTCTACGTCGTCCCTCCCTTCACTGCTGCAGCCGCCTTGGGTGCCGATTTCATCACCAAGCGACGCACCCGCTCCCTCTTGTACAAGATCAGCCATCTCCTCCTCCTCGCCTCCATACCCCTCACCCTCGCCATCAGCACCCTCATGCTCCTGCTCTCCTCCCTCAACTACCCCGGCGGCGAGGCCCTGGCCGAGCTCCAGTCCGCCATCCAGCGCCCCATCCCCGCCACCACTGACACCGATGATGAATTCACCTACCCGCCGTCCGTCTCCGCCCACGCCGACGTCCTCACCTGCATGACGGGTCTCTCCCTCTTCAACCAGAACCCGGCGGGCCTGCCCATCGCCCTCGCCACCCCGGAGCACCGCAACGCCGACCCCACGCTGCCCCTCCTCTTCGTCGACAAGACGGAAGGGATGCTCCGTCTCGAGTGGCCCAGCTTCTGGGAGAAGTTCGACTACGCCCTCCTCGAGGACCCTAGCCGCGCCCTCGGCGGCGGCTGGGAGGTCGCCGCCGTGATTCAGGGCTTCGACGGCGTCGAGATCCTCCGCCCGGGCAGCGTCGACCCCCGCCACCTCCTGCCGGTCGACGCGTTCCCGGGCGACGAGAAGGTCGTCGGCGCGGGTCTGGCCGTCGCCAACCTTCGCGAGCGGGTGAGGAAGCTGACGGGTGGCTGGTGGGTCGGGCCGAGGATGTCCAACCGCATCCGCGTCATGAGACGGCGGAAGGCCTGACCAAGCTTTGTTGTTGTAGGTCGGTTAATTTCTTCTCAATAGCAATAATTACCTTATCTTTTCCCCAGAGGATTTGTTTTACTTTATTTTTGCCAAAAAGGGAGTTGGGCTGGGTCAAGGAACGTCAGTAGCTAGACAAAATCAAAACATATTCGGGAATCACATGTGCAAATAGTAGTAGAAGCGATTTGAAACAAAAATATGTTCAGTATAGCGACTATTGGGATCCAAGTTCGCGGTAATCAATACAACAATTGCACATGAATGGGCCAAGCCGCCTTGGCCACCCTCTCTTACAAACCCCCATAAACGCCTGAATAGTCCAATACCTGGCGGTTCCCATCCCGGGAGGGTATCACCGCCACCCAATATCAATAAACCCGCTAGTTTTTTCTGCATTTTTCTCATCCAAAGACACCACGAAACAGTATGCTTAAGCAACGGCAAACCACAACAAGTGCGTCCGAATAATAAAAGGAAATGAAGCCAAGAGGAGGAAATCACCCATCACCATATGAGCTAAAGACAAAAATCAACCCAAAGTCTTAGCCATGTTTTGGTAGCCAACATAAGCAGAACGGCGCCAAACAGAACGAGGTCATTTCACATAAACTGCTGTGACAAGTTTGCAGCTTGAATATTGATTACTGTCGGCGTGTGTGAGTAAAAGGGTTATTAAACAGCGGAGGGTTCGTGCGCTGGGTTGGCGGAAAGTAGCTGTCGGATGTCTAATCCTGCTCAAACTCGCTGCTTTGGTCATTGGTGAACATCGTGTCGCTTGCCTCCTCGCTCTGTAGTTCTTCGACTCCGTTGTCAGAGTCAGAAAGATCACCGTACTTGTCTTTGTATCTTTCAAGCTCCCTCTTCTGCTGAACAAAATAGTCCAGGATGGATGCCATTGGGCCGCGCAGGTCGTTGAGTTCTCGCAACACCCCTTCGCCTCTGGCTAGGTGCCTCATAGCGAGTGTAGAGACACAGGTCTGATAATAAAGGTCGATTAGCTTATGTGATCAAAGAAAATCAGCACGCTATTACGCAACTTACCTCTATCCTGCTAACTTGATGCTCCATGAAGTTATAAAGGAATTTCTCAGTCACTTCACCTCCCCGTGCTTTGATCCTCTCGATCAGCTCTGTCTCGGGAGGCTGCAGCCCGGGTCCTCGAACGGTTTCTAGCGTGCTGCAAAGCATTTCAAGACGTAAACTGACTCTCCAAAGCTCCCAGACCATTTCGGGTTTCAGCTCGTCTGCTGTCCCAGGACGGAGAGTTGCCGGTTTGTCACCGCCAATTTCTTCACGCCGCTCAAACGCTTGGTGATACTCGATACGACCAGCAAGTGCGTGGGGATAGAGAGAATAGACCATTTCGGGGTTCTCGAGACCTTTCAACTTCTTCTCTCCCATTTCTTTTACTTCAAACCCCTGTGAGGTTAGAGATCGAAGATCCTTCCTAATAGAATTGGCAAACGACTCATCCTCAAAAGCGTCTTCGGGTGTTGGCGTAGAGCCGCTTCGGTCGACATCTTGGTAATTTTCCAAACAGCGCTGGATTTCAGAGATGAAATCCGACGACACTGTGATCTGCCCACCATCTGCCACAGCTGAAATTCTCGCTGCCTTATTGACCATGGGGCCAAAATAGTCCATCCGACGCGTTACAGGATCCGTCTCGCTCACGCAGTCACCATAATGAATGCCCATTCGAACGGAAAGACCCTTGAAGATGACATTATCATCCTTGTCTGCGATCTGCTGCGCTGAAACAGATCCCAACACTTCGGAAGGCCAGCTAACATCCAACAGACCCAACTGGACCGCGAAGCACCAGAGCAGAGCTGACGTGGCTGTCGGGAACGAAACCATGAAGGCATCACCTTCCGTTTTGACTTCGTATCCACCGATCCGTCGTAACTGACGTCTCATGAGTTCGTTGTGTAACTTGATGGCTGATCTCATAGCACTAGGATACATCTCCCATAGTGTCGTTGAATTCTTGATATCGGTGAAGACGATTGAGACATTACCTGTCGGGGCAGGAATCTCCGCTTCCAAACGACCGAGTGATGAGTCCAAAACATCTCCTTTGGCCTTGCGACCTCTCCTTGTTGACAAGGCCTGCGCTTCATCAGGAACGCCTGAAGGATAGAGTGACATACTCGTGCCGCGGTGGAGTCGCGAACGTTCCATTCGCCTCTTGATGTCTGCGACGCTAATCATCATCACCATGATCTTCCCCGAAGCGCCATAGGCCATGGCGAGGTCGCGCAACTTTTGCGCGGCTCGCATGAGGTCTCCTCTTTCAGCCCTAGCAATATCCGTAACAAGCCCGGGCGAGAGATACTCCCAAAGCTCCCTAGTAGCCATCAGAATGATGTCGTCGGTATCCCTAATGGTCATATTGCTGACATGTGGAGCAGCTTGAACTATAGGCATGAGATGGCTGTAGCCAAAAGCTCGAGACACTTCCAACGTATCATTCAGTCTACCATTTCGGGAGACCCAACCTCCGGCTTCACGAATTCTGGACCGTTCGGACGGCTCAGCAGGATCATGCTTACGGGTCAGGATCTTATGCGTGCCGTCCGTTTGAATTAGCATGGCCTGGACGTTTCCGACATTGGCCACGTAGAGCTCGGTTCCCTGTAGATAGACCACGGTAGCAACACCACCCGAGGTAAGGTCCTCTTTGCTCAGCACGAGCGGCTGAGAGGCGGATCGATGCGTCGTTCTAGGGCGATCTTCGGTGTGCTGAATGGAAACTGTTACAAGATCCTTGTTCACAGCCAGGAATGCTCGACGAAGAGCATCTGCGGGGGTTTCGTTTTGCCTAGTCTTTAGTGCTTTGAGCTCTTGGGTGAAGACATTTCCAAAGTTCTCGTGCAAATACTTGGCAATTTTCGAGCCTCCGCTAGAGAGAGCCTGTCCATCAAAAAGACCAAGGAGCATTTCAATCTCTGAGGCATTGAAACGAGGAACAACCAGGTCTACGGTTGATAGATGCTCATTCTTGCCAAGCGTATCTGCCATACCATATGGGAGATGACCTGCCAGGGAGCCAGATGTTCGCACTCGGCGATCCTCACTCTGGTCTGGAATGCTGGGCTGTGTCAGTGTGACATCCATCAGCCCAAGAACCCTGAGATTCAACAACCGGCTGAAGTCGGTGTACTGTTCGCGGTCCACGTCACCTGGTCCAGGCATACCCTGTCCCGCCCATGTTGTCTGTTTGATTTCCAGTCGTTTGTTGCCAGATAAGTTGAGGTATCGCAGGTTGGGATTGAGATTCCAATTCCAATCGTACGGCACGTTGGAAATATTGTACTTGAGATAATTATTACCACAGTCGAGAACGGCGAGCTTCTTTGCCCTCGAGATATCAGCTGGCAGGTTCGTGAACCTATTTCCGTTGATGTAAAGTGTTTGCAGGAGACTCGACTCTTCCAAGTCATCAGCAGGTAAGCTAGCCAGCTGGCTTCCGGAAAGATAGAGTTCTACCAGCTGTGGCCAGCTCTTGATTGATCTCTGAGGCATATCCGTAATTTCATCATTGTATGACAGGTTCAACACGCGAAGTTCAGCAAGCAATGTTATTTGGTCAAAAACGTCATCATCAAGGCGATTATCGGCGAGATAAAGATATCGCAGCGATCCCGCAAAAGTCGAGGTGAGTCTTGAGGATAAGCTCGAATCCTTTCTGCTAGTCGGAGGGGCCGATGTAGGCGGCGGTGTGGTTGCAAGCGTATTCTGTGACGTCGACCTAGAAACCACTGAAGTCTTCCGTCCGCCTTTTCCATAGACAGACACCACGGAGCTCTTCCTATCTTGAACCGGAGATGGCCCAACGCTGAGCAGAGTACTCGATGTTTGGCTAGGCCTTCTCTCATCGGACAATTCCTCACTGCTTCCAGTTGAAGATAATGATCCCACCAAGAGCGAGGGCTTCCCGTTTGACATGGGCGTAGGAAGCTGGGGTTCTTCTCCGGGAACCCGAGGGGGGCGTGATGCCGGTTTCGGGAAGTGCTCAAGGACGTTGGAGGAGGCATTGAAGGTCTCAAGTCGCTTCGCCCACCATATTTCCATTGGAAGCTTGGAAATATTGTTTCCGCGCACGTTGAGAACCCGGAGCTCTGTAAGGCAGCCAATTTGTGGTGGCAATTCTCCAACAGAGTTATTGGCAATACTGAAATGTTCCAACTTGAGCAATGTCCCGATCTGTACGGGCAATGAGACGAAGTAGTTTTTATCCAGAATCAGGTGCTCTAAGTTGGGGATATGGATGAATGTAGCATCGATACTTGCTAGCTGGGCGTTGGAGAGGTTCAGGGTCTTCAAAGTCGGCAGGGTTTGTGTAAGCTCGAACTTATTAAGCGGATTCGAGTTTAGCTTCAGCTGGCGAAGACGTTCGAATTTTCCAGTAAAGGCTGATATAGCGTTATGGTCGGCATAGAGGATCTCCAATTTGGGAAGCTCCGAAATGATGTCGATGGATGTGATGCCGTTGTACTTGATGTCAAGTTCACGTAGACTCATCATATCTTTAAACGAACTAGGCACTTGGTGCGAAAGTCTGTTGTTCGTGATGAGCAGCTTCTCCAGGTTCTTGAGCAGACCAATATCTTCGGGGAGGCTACCGATGGTATTGAAACTGAGATCGAGATCGACAAGACTATACAGGTGACATAAGAATGTAGGAAACTTTTCCAGAAAGTTGGAGGAAATATTGAGACTTCTCAATGCCTTGTATTCGCCAAAGTGCGAGGGCAAGTGCTTCAGGCGATTATTTGCGAGGTTCATCTTCAGCAATCCCTTCAACGTCTCTAGCTCAGCATGTTCAAGTTGCTCGACCCGGTTGTTTGAGACATCAAGATAGGTAAGCTTGCTAGCGCGGCTCAGACTCGGCGGGAGTCTTCTGGCCTCGTTATTATTGAACTTGATGTCGCGCAGATGCTTGCAGGACTGGATGAAATCCCTTGGGACATCCAACGACAAATTTCGAGACAGGTTGAGCGAGATGATATCAGCTGCTTTTGAGTAGAGAGAGATAGGTATCGTAATAAGGTTGCGACCAGACAAATCGACGTAGTTGAGCTTTTGCGTTCGAGATACAGTCAAGTCTGCTGTTCTCGAATGGAAGTCACTTTCTTTGGCAGACAAGAACATAAAGCGGCAAAGATACGTATTGTCTTCGCGGCCGACGTCTTCAATGCGATCTTTGTCCTCGTAACCCACCTGCTGGAGCAGACGTTTCTGAATAAGGAGTGGTCGCTCGGGCGGAGCAAGGACCCGGATGAGATTCTGCTTCTTCATAATAATGTGATAATTGTCGAGGCCATCGACGACGTACGTCTTCTTAACAACCTGCGATATTACGTCTGCCACACTTGCGTCCAGCGACATGGAGTGCGTCGAGAAAGTCCCATCTGAACGGAATATTCGTATACAATATGGCGTCTTCTTCTCATCGGGGCGTGGTGTGGCTTGAATCTCATCCATCTCTGGGCCATGAAACGTATTATCGTCGGTGTTTCGACGCACCGCCCAACTGTCGGGAGCATCCCATCTACCTTTTGGCGCAGGAGATACAATGGATTCCCGACGCTCGGGATCAGCATTGCTCGAGAAGGTCACATCCATGGGGGGTAGCGCTGGGGCTCGCGTCAAAATCCCCTCCATGTCATTCAGATTCGTATCCAAGTGGTACATGTGCTCTGATTCCCGCCTGTCCGTCGGGCCAATATCTTCTTCCGAGTACTGTTGATTACGGCCACGGTTCTTCTTGGAGAAGGGGAATTTGTTGTTGAAAGTAGTACCACGCGGGGTTGGGTTTCGGGGTGGTTCAGGAGCCTCGAAATCGGGATTAGAAGCACCTGGCAGAGGCGAAGGCGAGATATCTCTTCGATGGAGATCAGCCCTCGAGTGCTTAGGCTGCAAGGATCTGGTAGACTGAGGAAGGTTCTTCAACCGGGATAAGGCACTGGTGGACTCCTCCTTTTCCCTTTGGCTGTGGTTGTGATGCCAACGCAGCCGGCCAAATATGCCGAGCTTTCCATTGTGGCCAGGAGATGACTGGTCCTCGCCATGGCCAGATCTTGAACCTGGGGCTGGAACACTGTTAACACTAGGGGTCGGGCTCTGGGCTCTTGAGCGTGCGTTCAACATTCCGCCGGGTTGTGCACCCCGCTCCCGTGAGGGTGGGTATTGGCCACTCCACACAGAATCTTCGCGGCTAACAGTTGGTCTCAGAGATCGAGTCTCGTCATGGCTCCTATTATGGCGATGATGCCCGGGTAAGTGTACAATGGAGTGATTAGGTCGAGAGGAGGAAGAGGACTTGGGCGGGTGTTGCGACGAGGCATCAGATACATAACGATCTCGGTCGGGCCCAGTCAAGCTTGTCCGGACAGGTGCTTCACCAAACCGCGCAATATCCTAGAAAAAAAATTAGATGAGGACCCGACGAGACTTTCTATGGGTACCTGGGGGAAATGGAAAGTGTGCACGGATACTCTGGGCAAATTGGCGGCCGTCGGCTGAAAGTGTGGGGTGGTTGTGCATGCAATTGAAGGAAACAACGATGGGAGCCACTTACCGTGTTGTCCTGATAGAGGAAGGGAACAACCTCTGGGGCGGCAGGGACGGGTGTTCTTGGCCTAGACGATGACGGAGAAGCATCCCTCGTGTAATCTGTAGCATTCGACTGCTTGCGGTCACGATGCGAAGGCCGGCTGTGGCTATAAGACCGAGAATGCTGGTCCTTGCTTGGGAGCGACCCGGGCAGGCTGATCTCCGAGCTATCTCGTCCTGGAAATTCCTCGCCGAAGAATCCTTGAAGCTTCCGAAAGCCTCCTCGCGACATGCTCGCCTTTGAACCCCCACTGCTTGCAGTGGCAATGCTTGCAACGGACGGGCGGCGGCCATCATAGAAGGAGGCATCTGGCGATTCATACGTGCTAGCGAGCGGGCCGGAGCGGGACGCGGGGGCCAGACCGACCGGCGACATCTGCGATGTTATGGACTGGGTGTCGCTCGAATCGTTGTAGAAGCTCCCGGCGCCAGGAGCATTGGCCTGCGAGGGAGAGCCATTGCCGGTCATCCATGGAGCGACATGGGATGCCACAGTTGCTGTGGGGGGCTGTTGCTGTATTTGTGGCACACGAGAGAGATCAAGAACGGCAAGGTCACGACGGTAGTTTGCCAGGTCGCTTGTGCGACGGCCCTTGTATGTCGAGGAAGAGGAGTGCGGTATACCGGCAGAGGTTTGTTGAGGGACGGCGGGGAGAATAGAATCGTTGTGCGAGACAGTTCTAATGACAATGTTAGATTCGAGGAAGCGGGCAAGAGAGTGGCCCCAGGATGAGGCAGAGCTCTCAGCCTGCGGCGTCGCCACTCACCTGCTCAAGGAGATGCCATCGTCGACAAGATGCGGCGCCGCTTGAGATCGGTACGCAGCAGCGGAGGCAGATTGGTTCGGCGACGGCTTCATTGTGTTGGAGGGCCGTGTGCTCCCGGCACTACCACTCGGGACAGAGCTCATGCGCTTGCTCACGGCCTCATTTTTGGTCATTGTTCAACCTACGGCCGTAGCTGGCCTCTGGGCCATACCATAAGAGCGCAAGGTTGTCGGTTCAGTGCGCCATTCAAGTCATACTCGTGGGCGCTAGGCGTCGGAGGCGAGGGAGAGACGAGCGTCGTGCGACGGGTTGAGCGGCCGAGGGATGCGCGAGAGAGCAAGTCGAGGAGGAGAGCCGCCAATGCGCAGAAGATATACGTGCTCGGCGGGGGACGGTACAGAGGTGCAAGGCTCGACAGCACAGCGTCAACGTGGGTTGTCGATGTCGACCTCGATCTCGGAATTGGTGGACGGGACCCAGGCTCTCCTTGGAGCTTGGAGCAAACGAATGAATTCGACCGAGCGAATGGGCGGGTGCCGGTGTTGGATGTGAGGGGCACAGTCGGGCGTAGAAGCGAAAGCTGGGCGGGCGGCGAGAGGGTGCGACTCAGGTGTTGGCAGGCGTTCCGAAGCTTGGGACAAGGCGGGTGGACAGTGGATGTGATGCAGATGGCTGACGGTTGGACTGGGCTGGGTCTGGAGTGGAGGCGGAGGTGCACGAAAGCAAAATCCTCCATACGTATGTGCTAACAGCAGCACCCATCCACCACCAGTAGTGCTCCCCACGCGCTGATGCACGGGCTCCCCCCTCCCCTTCGAAGAAAAATAGGGCCCCCAAAAGGCTAAAGCCAGGTACCTTGCCGGTACCTCGTTGGCGCCTCCAGGCCGCTGCTGGGGCCCCATCTGGCTGCATGCCTCTGCTGCCTCGTCGCACGCCTTCATACGGGCCTATTGAGGTCGCCTCGAGCAGAAGCTTCGTCGCCTGACGCCCTTGGCCATATCCGGCGGCAAGACTCTTACGTGCATTTTCGATTGCCAGCTTATTCGCGACCAGCACATACCAGATGGGCAGATACATCGTCTCTAGTCAGCCAGGGTTTCAAGGTGCTTATCTTGCACGTCAGGCAGAGCGCCTTGTTCTGCACATGCCGGGTACATGGCGGTACTTGCTCCCCGTCCCATCCATCCCACGGCGAGAGCTTCCTCATCAGCTTGTGATCGGATGGCTGCCACGTTGTTGCTCAGTACTACGGAGAAATGAGTTTTCACTTGTGGGTTTCCCGCACGTCTAGCCCAGGCTTGTCATGACGCGCGCTGTGCGCCAGGCTATCGCGGGTGATGGCAATAAATGATATTTCATAAATAGGTCGTCCGCTTCCGTCAGGGAATCAACCCATGGCACCCGGATAGGGAGGCTAGCGCATAGCGCAGAGATGCCGCCACGAGGAGCTCTGTCTACATACATGCGAGCTACGAATGTGCTCACCTCCGCATGCATGTGCAGTTAGGCTGCTGCCAGTTTGGGACCAGCAGAGGCATGTATGCAACAGGTACTTGCTCGGTTTCGCAACGGCACCGTGGAAAGCTTGTCCTTAGCAACTCACCTTCGTCCGGAGGGGGGGCCTTACTCGACAACCTGAACCTTGGATGCTTCTGGGCTGCCCATCATCATCAGACGGCCGGCGAGGGATTGACCACGCCCGACTCATTGCCCGATGCAAGAGTAAGCCCAGACCCTGATAGCGCGGCTCTGCCTTGCCCGACGAGAGTGTGTGGTGAATCTGATGTGCAGCAGTGAGGGAGGTATATGTACGTAGGAATGAGCTATACCTGCCGCATGTGGAGCCCCGAACCCTGAACCCTGGACTTCCCTATGATCTACAATCTGCGGCCAAAGCCCCTACTACTAACCTAGTCCGCGTTCCATCCAGCTCTGCCCGGCGAATGCAGATGCGATGTGAATTGCGTCCGGAGCATAAGCGAAGGGTCCGTGTGGTTGTGCGATTCAGGGAGCAACGAGTCGTGCAGAAATGCCGATGCGCCAAATGCCTGTTGGCGTCAACAAATGCCGATTGGGGTGGAGTCTGTCCTACACCTTCATGGAAGCATCCAGCCATGTGGGTGACAGGAGAGATGAGCCATCAGACTGAAGGGTGGGTGGTTGCAGATGGGCCACGTTCTACGACAGCTAGAAGGATTCGCTAGTGAAATGAACCTAATTAATAACATGTATCATAAGTCAGTGATTCAATGCAGGTCACAGACTCGAAAACAATCAATATAGTTCAATTGCTACCTTAGCGGTCAGCCACCAATTGCTCGCTACGGCTATCGGCTTTGACCTATAACGATGCTGGTTCTTTTACAAATGTGATAAGGCTGACCGTGTCACCCATCTTGCAACACACTTTAGTCTTGACCGACAAGCCTGATCAGGCGACTTTCTCATCTGCATCTGACCCTGTATAGAGTCTATAGGGATCTACGTGCTAGCAGCGATCGCTCGTGGGCATAATTTCCAAGCTGGCTTGGCCGACTGCGTGGCCCATTGGTATAGGGTATCCGTGCATGAGGAGACGAGATGCCAACCATCAATGTCCATGCATCTCTGTATTAGCAATCAGGAATTGTAACCCCAACAGATAAACATCGCCGAGTGCTTCCTAGGCAGAATTGCATTCCTACATGAGCTGGCCAGCAGGGCTTTGCACCCAGTCCACCGTGACGGCCCCGTACGCCGGTCCGAGATTTTCTCCTGATCTCCTGTTAGACCGCCGCAATAAGTGGGTGATGAGTGGACAGGTATGCAGCCAATCTGCCCAGGTTTGCGAATGACATACGTCCCTCCAAGGCCAGATGGGTCATTGCTGGCTGTTCAATCGCCCAACTGGGGAATCGTGACGAAACTCGCGCCCACATCGCCAGAGAGGCGACAGCTCAAGTCTCCCGCCGAACCCCGCAGGTGTGGGCTGGGCATTTCAGTAGAGCTCTGACGGAACGACAAATTCGCAAGATTAACCCCCCCTTTTAAACTTTCTTATATTTTGTTCATTTTTGTGTTGAGCACAAGTAAACACTGTAATTGACAATGGCAAATCCCACACAGCAAAGCCGGGCCTGGTGGAAGGAGAGCTCCGTCTACCAGGTGTACCCGGCCTCCTTCCAAGACTCCAACGGGTCTGGTGTTGGTGACCTCAAGGGCATCATCTCTCGTGTGGATTACCTGAAGAATCTCGGCGTCGACATCGTGTGGCTGTCTCCCATATTCGATAGTCCCCAGATTGACATGGTATGTGCTCGTGTTATGCGGACTGCCTGTCCCAGGGGGCACATTTAGCTAATAACGGAGGAACAACCACTTTGAAGGGCTACGACATTAGTGACTACAAGAAGATTTACCCTCCGTATGGTGACATTGCAGATGTAGACACGCTCAAGGACAAGCTACACGAGCGAGGAATGAAGCTTGTGCTTGATTTGGTCATGAACCATACTAGTGATCAGCACCACTGGTTCAAGGAGTCGCGGAAATCAAAGGACAATCCATTCCGGGACTGGTACATCTGGAAACCTCCCAAGTACGATGCCCAGGGGAACAGACAGCCTCCAAACAACTGGGGAGGTCACTTCCAAGGTAACTTTCCCCGTCTCATATCCGTCATTCTATTCTACGCATAGGGCTAAAGGTAATCTCTCTTAAGGTAGCGCATGGGAGTACGATGAACAAACTGACGAGTACTATCTGCACCTGTTTTGCACGGAGCAGCCCGACCTGAACTGGGAAAACCCAGCCGTCCGCAAAGCCGCGCATGATGTGATGCGGTTCTGGCTGGATCGAGGCTGTGACGGGTTCCGTATTGATGTCATCAACTTCATCAGCAAGGACCAGTCATTCCCCGACTCTGATAAGACCGTGCTCCCCGGCTCTGAGTTCTATGCCGCCGGACCTCGTCTTCACGAATATCTGAAAGAGCTTGGGGCCATTCTGAAGGAGTACGATGCCTTTAGCGTCGGCGAGATGCCCTGCGTCCACGACGAGCAGCAGCTGATCAAAGCTGTTCGCTCCGACCGCGGAGAGCTGAGCATGATCTTCCACTTTGAACTGTATGCCCAGTCTCTCCTTGCATATTCCCATGAGCCAATTCGAATCTAACTCTGTGCGCCAGGATGGACATCGATCACGGTCCAGGGGGCAAATTCTCCTCCAAGGACTGGAAGCTCTCCGAGCTCAAGAAGACCACGAACAAGTGGCAGCGATTCATGTACGACAACGACGGCTGGAATGCGCTCTACCTCGAGAACCACGACCAGCCCCGCTCCGTCAGCCGGTTCGCCAACGACAGCCCCGAGCACCGCGCCGCGAGCGCCAAGCTCATCGCCGTCTTCCTCGGATTCCAGGCCGGCACCCCGTTCGTCTACCAGGGCCAGGAGATCGGGATGACAAACGTCCCCAAGGACTGGCCCATGGAGGAGTACAAGGATGTCGACTGCCTGAATCATTGGAGGTGAGTCCTAACCTAATCCCCCGTATTTCTAAACACCGTTGGCTAATTTGACCAATTTATATATAGTTTGTTCAAGGATACTGCGGATGAGAAGACCAAGGAGGAGCTCAAGAGGAACTACCAGAAAAAGTCTAGAGACAACGCGCGCACCCCGATGCAGTGGGACTCGACGTCCAATGCCGGCTTCACGAGCGGGAACGAGCCCTGGATGCGCGTGAATGATAACTACAAGGCCATCAATGCCGCGGCCCAGGTCTCAGACCCCAACTCAGTCTACCACTACTGGAGGCAGGTCCTCGAGAAGCGCAAGGAGCTGAAGGACATTTTCGTCTATGGAGACTTTACACTGGTCGACGAGCCCAACGAGCGTGTGTTTGCATACAAGCGTATAGCCAGCGATGGCGCTGCTGCGCTGATCGCTTGCAACTTCTCTGCGGATCGAGTGAGTTGGGGTTTCGAGGGCAAAGCCAAGGAGGTACTAGTAAGCTCAGGTGGGAAATCATTGGAGAATGTAAGCAGTGGCGAGATATCCCTGGGGCCATACGAGGCTATTGCCTTGCTCCTCTAGAGAAGTGTTTGGTGTTGAGCGCACAAGAGTTTCTGCGCATAGACGTGTTGCATTACTAAAAGCATTCTCGTTATATTGCTTGTTTGCGTTATGAACATGATCTAAATTAAAGAAGTCCCCGATCTGTACTTGAAGACATCAATGAATACAATGCCATGATGAGGTTGATCTCTCATGCCAATACCTCTATACTATTCGTCTTGAACCATTTCGCCGAGCGCTTTACTGTCCTCCATGATGGTTCTGGCCTCCTCGGCCGACACAGACATGTCGCGCATGATGAGCTGAACAGCCAGCTCAGCAACTAATACACACTGAATAAACGCCGCCGACCCACGCCCAGAGATGACCGGGTCGCGAACCGCCCTCTCTTTGAGTAAGTCGGTAAACCTTTGTACAAGAAGGTCACACATAATATTGAATCCCTTGGGGCCATAGTATCCCGGGTTGAGGTTTTCTTCCTTCTTCATGGCGCGGGATGCCCCTGATTCGATCTTCTTCGCCAGCTTGGTCCGGTAATAAGATGGCTCTCCGTTCACAATGCCAGCCAAAAAGGCGTGGTGAGAAGCTACTCGGCCTGGCATCTCGTCCCAATCGATGGATGGGTACGACTTCGCCCGCCATGTGTCGAGCGCCGTCTTCTTCTTGTGCTTGTGACAAAATCTGGTCTGTTTTTGTACATTCATTCTTACACCTTTGGTGAACTCTCTGTAGAACGCCGCATCCACAGCATCGCCACACCAGGGACAGACCGCCATTTCTTCGGTCGGTTTACTGTGCTTATCGTCTGTGTTGATAGCTTCATCCTCCGAGTCGCTATCCATCAGCGTTGCCATGAACTTATCATGATTTCCGACGTCTGCACTTTCTGCAACCTGGGTCCCTGGGAAAAACTTGAAGATTGGTGGAGGTGACTTATCCTCGGAATCCAAGTCTTCCAGGCCGGTTGGAAGAACAAATTTCGTCTTAGCTTCGGGAGAAGGGCTGCGGAGGTCGTCATCAAATGACTTGAACTTAGCAATGGGGGATTGTGAACCGGGGAGGGACTCCAGGCCCTTTGGCATTTTGAATTTGGATGCCTTTTTCGGGGAACTAAACTCGTCATCCGAGCCAGGTATGTGTTTGAAAGTGGTTGATACGGGTTTTGATTTTGCTGCTGGTAGTTAGATAAACTGGTTGGAATACACTGCTTTCAGGATCTCTCACCGTCAGAACTGGCTTTCTTCCACATATTAACCATATTGAACGTTTGTTTCCCTTTCTTGCTCGCACCATACGTAGCCTTGACATTTTGCCTCCTGGTGAAGCCGTTGGATTCACTCAAGTGGCTCCCGGCACTGGATGAAGGCTCAGAAGCTCTGCTCTGTTGGGAACTCGACATCGATTTCCTCTTTTGACCGGTGCTCGCTCGTCCATTCTCGTCAGCCAGCTTCTTTCGCTTGGCTTGAATTTGATCCCTGGTCTCCTCTGTGGCTCCTCCAGATGCAAGCTGCCGTCCCCGCTTGGGGCTGGTGTTGCTCCTCTGTGCGGGTTTCGACTTGCCGAATGTAGTTCGGCTAATAGCAGCCCGATCTCTCCTCTCCTCATCAGTGTCATCCGAATCTGAATCATGGGGCTGCCTGAGATGAGAGCGCGTCCCTGAGCTCTCGCTGTCTGATATCGGGTCTGAAATCCCGTACTTGAATGGCCTTGGACAGCTGCCATGGTTGCTGTCAGGAGACGCGGAGTCATCTATGTCCTCAGTCATTCTTGAATGATACATGGCGCGAGATTTCCCCCCAACAACTCTGAGGAGAGGTTTGATTGGGTCTGCATAGCTCAGACCAGAGCGTCTGACAGACATTTTAGGCCAGAAGTTTGAATCGTGGAAAGTGAGCCAAGCTGAGGTAAAGTCCACGGGTTCACTTCTGACCCCCAATCGATAAGGATTTGGGTTCGTCCCAAAACATGTATCAAGCTCGACGACAAAGACAATACATCAGCCTGGAAATGGGAGCCCAGCCGCCAAGTATATCGTACAATGCCTTCCAACGCTTCAAGGCGCAGTGAACACTTGACTTCCTGGCCGTGACGATGATGTTATGATGCTGATCGCGAGGGAGGTCAATGCAATCAATATGCAGGTGCTTAGCATATGCTTAGCCGCCCTGTGCGTCCTGGTGGACCCAGTTCCCGGCTATTAATGGGCTGCCAGGACCAGTAATGAGCTTCTTTCAGCGCCGGGGTGTGCTGGCAGGTGGCCTGCTCCAGCTTGTTACAGGCTACCACAGGCCTTCAAAAGTTACTCATCGTATGCAGTGCGTGTACCCGCAGCTGGCTGCATTGCATGGTTGCACAGCTGCACCACCATCCAACCACATATCTCATACCGCAGCCCCGTTTGCCTTCACGTTTCTTTTTCGTCCTTGACTTCATTTTGTTGGCGTGCACCGCATTGGATCTTTGTGCTGGCGAAGGCAGCTGCTCCCGCCGCTTTAGCAATATAGAACCCCCCCCATCAGCTCAGGAGCCGAGGAGGCTTGCTCTTGGTGTTCAACCGACCTAAGCCTGAATATCAACCTAATCGCGACACGTCCTCCGAGCAAGTAATTAGGCATGGCGGCACGCGAACGTAAATATGCCGGGCTCCCGGACATGGTATGCTTCCCCGGACTCTTTCCACTCAATGCAATACCGCGGTAGCTAACTGTGGACAGGACGATGCCCCTGATATATACGAGACACCAGAACTGACCGATGATGTCTCCACGGTCCCAGTATGCTTCGCTCTCCTTGACCGCCCCTTCTAGTCGCGAGGCTCACGGATTATCCAGACGACGACAGCGCACACTCACTCGGACGATGAGTTTTTCGATGTCGAGGACGATACCCAACCGATCTCGCGGTCACGGCTCCGCATCAACGAAGCTCGTTCCAGATTTATGCCCGCGAGTGTCGATGCCAACGGGGTCGATTTCTCGGATCGCGTTGATGGGAAGCGAAAGTCTTACAAGGCGTCGAGTCGCCGGCAGCGAATCTTACAGGACGGCACGGAAGAGCTGGGTGACTTATCAGATGACGACGACGACGAGAGTCTTGAGAGGAGGATCGCCCGTCTGAAGCGAGAGGTGGAGGAAGCCAAGGACGAATATTCCAGAAGGAAAGCTACGGCTTCATCTACGGAAGCGGGAGACTCGGGGGCGACGGAGCGGTTGGACAGCTTGAGCCAGGTTCTGCACCAGATATCCCAGCCTGTGGGGGTCGCAACCGCTCTCCGGCCGACCCAGCGCGCCCCGGAACCTGCTCAGGCAGACGATGCAGAGCTGTCAGGGGAACAAGGCGCCACCTACACAATAACCTACGCCCCGTCGTACGAGCAAACCCACGCCTTGGCTAAGGCGGCAGATTTCGACCGCCGATTACTACTACTGGAGAAGGGTCTCGGCATCAGCTCCGCGTCCATCCCTGAAGCAAACTCCGAAGGCATACCCCGAGCCGTTCTGCCCACCCTCGACTCCCTGGACAAGCAGATCACAACGCTCTCGCAGGCGACGACCGCCAACCTGGACGCGATCAGCCGGAGGGTCCGCACCCTCGCCCTGGAGCAGGACAAGCTCAACGAGTCGCGGGAGAAGGCCAAGACGCTGAGGGAGGAGCTGGGGAAACAAGTCTCGACCCCCGGGGAGGAGGACTCCGAGCAGGACGCCAAGATCAACGCCCTGTACGCGATCCTGCCCACGATTGAGAACCTCACGCCGATGCTCCCGCCTCTCCTGGACCGCCTGCGGTCCCTGAAAGCCATCCACGCCGATGCGGCCACTGCCAGCGAAACGCTCGACCGGATCCAGAAAGACCAGGCCGACATGGCGGCCGAGTTGAAGCAATGGAGAAGCGGTATCGAGAAGATGGAAAGCACAATGGGGAAGGGGGATGAAACCGTCAAAAGCAACATGAAAGTGATGCAGGGGTGGGTGAAGGATTTGGAAGAGAGGATGTCGAAATTGAATTAGTAGATATAAAAGCTACATATAGCATTACAGCGGTGCCGGGATACCCAAAATACAATGTCTTCATCTTTCTTCCCAATGAGCTACCTTGCGAACCATATTACAAGTGGTTGGGTTGAGGAGAATTTGGTCACGTGCTTGGCGGAACGTGGGTTCCATTTATTAAGCCCAAGCTGGGGACAAAAAAACATTTCTTTCTCTTCCACCAATCTACAGATTCCATGGTAATGATGGCAATATGCCAATAATGCATCCGGAGTAGCACTGGTAAGTTACTGCGTAATATTTCAATTTACACTCCCCTACCCACTTGGAATGATGCTCTAATAAGCATGTATTACCTGAACATTTATGATGTTTTTTTTATCACCAAGATCTCTGACCCAAGAACTTGATTCACATTTACTTGTCCTTGCCTCGATTGAGAAGGAACTTGTAGGCTAACATGTTCAAAGTTTAGTACATCATCCTATCACCATGGCCGCTGCTACTCCAGACACCGGTGTCGAATACTTTGACATTCTGTACTTCGCCGGGGCGAGCTCGATTACTGGGAAGGAAAGGGAACAACTACACGCTCCGCTACCACTGGGGCAGCTGTTTGCGCAGCTCGAATCAAAATACCCAGGAATCAAGACACAGATCCTTGATTCCTGTCTCGTGACGATCAACCTTGATTATATAGACGTTCCAGCTGAAACGTCCGCCGAGGGCGAGGGCTTGGTGATCCAACCCGGCGATGAGGTTGCGATAATCCCCCCTGTTAGCTCAGGCTGAATGAATGCCATCATAATCGAGTAGGACACGTAAGGAAGTCGATGCACTACCGGTGTCTTTGGCCTTGCGTTGGTTCTGCCGGTCCCTTGCAGAGCACTGCGCAGTAAAAGTAGCTAGGGAAGCATCACTCTGCGCCCTGCCCTGCCTCTTGTGACCGTAGGAGCGGCTCCTGCTCTCTGTCGCGCGCTGGCCGAGCTCGCCAAGGAACCCGCCATGCCTTCTTCCTTGCATACCGTCGGATGCGTAGCGCCGCAAGGATGGTGAGAAATGCTAGGAGAAGCACGACAAAGGTGCCCACGATCGAGACGGTCGCAGTGAGCGTAGTTACGGATGAGACATTACAGCCCAGCGGTCGTGTCCTGATTTCCCATTGCTCTTGCCAGGCTGGGCAGATTTGCTTGTCATATGCTGGTGCTAGGAAGGGAATCTTGTGCGAGTTGGGAACACAGGACCAAGACTTGACATCTCACTCATCAGTATCTACTAGCTACCGGGTGATGCACATTATATGGTTGGACGAGTCAGCATGACTTACGTATGGGCACCAGCTGCATCCCTCCGCGTCCAAGCAATTGGGGCAGCTGGTTCGCGACCAGCACCGGTAGAAATGCTCTTTGTCGGTCTCGCTGGCGGAGAAATTGCTGCGTAGCGCGTTTATCACGCTGGGCTCCATTATGTTATGGATGAACCGGTCAACTCAGTTCATAGTGGGGTCAGGATCATGGAGGTGATGAAGTGCGTTTGCGTTCAGGCTGTGGCGGGGTGGCAGATCAGACGATGATGTGTGTGCACGGTCCAGGCTGGTGGCAGCCAGCCACGTGAAAGCGATGGTATGCAGGCTGTGTCACAAATCACCGCCGCGTACTATGTAGAGGGATCTTGTGGTGTAGCAGGGTGTCTGGACAATGGATAGTACCTATTGAGTAATTGGAGTATCAATCGATCGTAAATGGGATCTACTGCGATACAGACGCCAGAACATAGCCTGCATAAGACGAATAGCAAGTGCGAGCCGCTAAATAACCAACCAGCGACAATGGGTTTGGTCAGCACTGGCAATGTACCTTCCACCCAACGAAATCAACACCTCTGTCGTCGCATCGTTCATTTTCTCTTTTCTGCATCCTTCGCCCTCGGTATCCAGGGATTGACCAACAAAAGACAATATCAAATAAATTAGCATACGCTGCCTAGCTTGGAAGCTTGGGTAGCTACGAACTGCTGCCGATATTTAGCCTTTTACCCAGAAATAAGGCAGTTATCCCCTAGCGCATGTCATGAAGCTCCTCCTGATCAGCTGCACAGGAGTCATGCAGAGCCGATGATGGCTTGAACCAGGCCGTGGAAGCTCCTCTTCATCACGGCACTTGTCAGCCACACTCTGCCTATGTAGGCAGGTCCCTACGGCTCGTGGGAATAATGGGATCATCAAGCCCTGCCAAGAGCAGTCTCCGATTCGCGATGCCACTCCCTGTTACGATGGGATTGGATATCAAAAGCGACGAGCTCAACAACAATCACCATGTCGGCGTATCATGCCACATCAAACAAGCTGATAATGTTGCCTTCAGGCTTTTAGTCGTCACGCCAGTCCGCATCAAGACTACCGAGATCCAGCCGTTCCCCATCTCTTTCTTTGCCTTCCCGGTGTTCAATTCCCTATGCAAGATAGAGGATACTCGTCCTACGCGGCAAGACGAATTGCCTAAATGTACACAGACCCTGGATTTAACCGTAATATGAATCCCAGCCATTAACAGACTGGCGACGACATCTGAGGCACAGGGCCATGCCGAAGTCGGCCTGGTCCGACCTGGCCTGGTCTGGCGGCACTGCAAGCGATCAAGAGCCCCATTCCTTGGCAATTGATCAGCTTGACCGGTGACAGACACAATGCCTTTCTCTTGAGTGCTGGCGATGGGTATTGGTCCAGAAATTGAGGCCCCAGGCAAAGGTTGTAGAACCACATATTACGCGACCCCAGAAATTAACTGAACATAACCAAATGGCAGCCCCAGCGCGGGGGTGGTCTTCCCTGCTCTCTCCTCCGAGCTTTCTCCTCATTCATAGTGGGTTCGTTGGATGGGGAGCTCCGCACGGCGATTGCTACTTACGATATACTAAATATTGGCTGAATAGCACTCCTCTCCATTGTTCTAGTGCCGGGAGTTTGGATAGCATGGATCAAGCCACCGTTCTTCGCGGAGGAGAGCCGTTCGTGATTTGCATACCCGCGTGATGTTCGGGACCAGTGAATGCAGCTATATACCTTCTTATACACCCAGACCGAGCCCTCATCATCTATGCCGCTTCATATGAACCAGTATTGACAATGGACATAACTCAGTAAACCCACTACATACCCTTTGGCCCTTTTTCACAACAACCTAAATCATGCATTTACGAGAAATGGGGAAAGTAAACTTATCCAAAGGCGTGTAATTGGATCATGATACCCGCCCACTCAGAACCCCATCTCCTAAATCCATCTCCACACATCCCCATGTCGTTCGAACAGAGGGTCCGCGCTATAGTAGCTGGTTTGTGTTATGGAGCAAGCAGGCGTGCCATCATGCTCTACCCTGTCCGTCGTAGCAGCGAGAGTCATCACGGGTCCGTTTGCTTGTGTATAAAAAGGAGCTGGTGGCCAGGTCCCAGTCTTAATGATGTAGATCTATCGTCAGGTCCTCTAGACTCAACCATTAGCAACACTCAACTCTCAGGGTCGACTCTGCTCTTCCCGTCCTCCTTTTCAACATGGCCCGCCTTGATCTTCTAGACAAGTTCAAAGCTAAGACTGTGGACCAGTCGGCAGCTGCACAAGATGAAGCTCCCAAATTTGAGCATGTTATCTGGTACAAGGACCCGGGTCTGAGGAAGCTTTACTTTTATGCCGGTGTTCTCTGTATTGCTTCTGCAACCAACGGATACGATGGGTGAGATCTGACCAAAGCCCCGTCTCTACCCAGAGATCCCCTAAGACGATCATCTATTCGTCGATTTACAATCGTTCATATGGCATACTAACCATCAATTCCACAACTCAGCTCTTTCTTCAACGCTGTCCAGAATTTCGAAACCTGGCAGACATACTTTGACCGCCCCAGCGGTTCATTCCTGGGTCTTCTAGTTGCTCTTTACACAATTGCTTCCCTGGTCTCCTTGCCACTGGCGTATGTTTCCAGTTCTCTGATAGTCCCACATCATCTGCCATTTATTAACCAGAGCGCTTGTGTAGCCCTTTCCTAGCGGACCGACTTGGCCGCAAACCCCCTATTATCTTGGGATGTTGCTTCATGATTGCCGGGGCTGTAATGCAGGGAGCCGCCACCAGCATCGGCATCTTCACCGGAGGCCGTATCCTCCTTGGTTTCGGCGTGTCCTTCACTCAGCTCTGCTCTCCCACGCTTCTGACCGAGGTCTGCCACCCCCAGCATCGTGGTCGCCTCACCACCATCTACAACTGCCTGTGGAATGTCGGTGCTCTGAGTGAGTATCCCTACCCCACAGCAGAACCAAGGGGATAAAGTTGTACACAATATCTATAATCGGCAGCTAACCGTGAGTAAACAGTTGTCTCCTGGCTCTCCTTCGGCACAAACTACATCAGCAACGACTGGTCCTGGCGCGTCCCCGCCATCCTGCAGGCGTTCCCCTCCGTCATCCAGCTCATGTTCATCTGGTGGGTTCCCGAGTCTCCCCGCTTCCTCATCGCCCACGACAAGTTCGACGAGGCGCTCGACATCTTCGCCAAGTACCACGGCAACGGCGACCGCAACCACCCCACCGTCCAGTTCGAGTTCCGCGAGGCCCGCGACACCATCAAGATGGAGCTCCAGAACAAGAAGACGACCAGCTACCTGGACTTCTTCAGGACCCCCGGGAACCGCTACCGCCTCATCATCCTCATCTCCATCGGCTTCTTCTCCCAGTGGTCCGGAAACGCCATCATCTCCAACTACACCAACCTCCTTTACGAGGGCGTCGGCATCAAGAGCTCCACCACCAAGCTCGGTGTAAGTGCCTAATCTTCCCCTCCCCCTTTTTAGTCTACAACTTCCTAGACCACTAATCTTTAAACAACACCCCCAGCTCTCCGCCGGAACAACCTCCATCGCCCTCATCATCTCCGTCACCATGGCCCTCCTAGTCGACAAGATCGGCCGCCGCCCCATCTTCATCCTCGCCACAGCGGGCATGTTCCTCACCTTCATCTTCTGGACCCTCTCCTCCGCCCTCTACGAGGAGCGCGGCGCCCCCGGGGCCAACCACGCCATGATCTTCTTCATCTGGCTCTTCAACATCTTCTACTCCACCGCCTGGGTCGGCCTCGTCATCGGCTACTCCCTCGAGATCCTCCCCTACAAGCTCCGCGCCAAGGGGCTCTTCGTCGTCCAGGCGTGCGTGCAGGCCGCCCTCGCCCTCAACAACTACGCCAACCCCGTCGCCTTCGAGGCGTTTGCGGGCCACAACTGGAAGTTGTACCTCATCTACACTGTACGTCTTGTTGATTCGCAAAGGACATCATCAATCATTTGATATACCACATTGAAAAAATTAACACTGACCAAATCATTTGTAGTGCTGGATCGGGTTCGAGCTCGGCTTTGTATACTTTCTCTACGTCGAGACCAAGGGTCCCACCCTGGAAGAGCTCGCAAGGGTGTTTGATGGCGATGACGCCCAAGTCGCTGAGTTGAACTTGGAGCAGGTTGAGAAGGAGGCCGAGATCTTAGCTGCTCACGACGAGGCAGCGCCGGATCAGAAGAGGGTCTAAACGACGGTATGAATGACGAGTGATGTACATGGTGTTTTCACCTTGGTAGATGATATACCCTATACAAGCCTATGTTATGATATGATTTGTGCCGAAAGAAGGTAGATAATTAGATGAACTGTATCGAAATGTTCATGGAAGAAGTCTAGGTATAATTTGATCTATCTGATTATCGGATAGCAAGGATTGCCATGGCTGTGGGCATAAATGTTGATTTCGGTGGCAATAGTATAATGATAACGAGCCTAGGTTGTCAAATCCATAAGTATGATCTAACGGCGTAACAAGCCATGCCAGCCATATCCCAGTGATGTAATCCATAAAAACAAGGTTAACAAAATTCAAAAAGGCCCCTCGATCTAAAAAGAGTATTATATAACATTCGAGCCTTCTTGCATCCTCTTACGGGATGCCCGAACTTGTTGCTTTAGCTTTCTTATCTTCTCTCGCCGCCGCTCCACTTGCTTCTCCTTGTCTTCGGCTGGCTGGTCTTGGCTCAAAGTACTTAAAGCCATTAGTTCCGAAAGGAAACGCCGAACGTTCAGTCCTGTGTTCTTATGAAGTGTTGTATGAACGCTCTCGTCGCAGGCTGCCGCCGCCGCGATGTGTAGGCCTTTGAGCACGTCTCGATCATTGACTTGAGCCGTGCTTGAGCTACTTTCACTCGTGGTAGTCTGGCATCTCCTGGAAGATACTCGACAAGGGATATCGGGAGGCTTTGGGGGAGAGAACGTTGTGCGGAGGTGGGGAGGGAGCTGCACCGGGTAACGGCCGGGATCTTGGCGATATAGCTCCCGCACCGCTTTAGCAGTCAGCCTGTCGCTAAAAGCGTCTCGGAGAGAGTGTGCTTGTGCTGTCTTTCTATCTGGGTGATGGCGTAAAGGTGGTAGCTCAGGAATAGACAAGGCGTCATAATCAACTCTAGTTTGTTGTGGTTGATCATGAGGGACGTGCTCCTTCTGTCTCTGAAATTCTGGTAGACTACCATTGCCCGGCCGAGAGGAAACTCGATCTGAGTTGCTGGCATCCATACTAGACTTGTAGGCAGCATAATCATGTGGGAATAGTTGAATTTCCTTCGGTTCGCGCGGAGGCTTATATTTTCTTTGTTTTGGAAGACGCGGTGAAGCTATAGTCTTGCGTTTCCTTCGTAAACCCAATACTGCATTCAATGTGTTTGCTTTGGGAACTCTGATCGTGGGCTCATCACTATCATCAGTTTCGAGATGTCTTGAATTCGAATGTCCATCTTTCTGTGAATAGTGGGACGAAGGGACTTGCGAGATCACGTTCCTAGATTCGCTGTTATGTCTTGGTTTCGGTTGTTGAGATAACCGCCTGACATATCCTGGGGGAATCTTGACGCTCCGATGGGAGGACTTTTTACTGGTCAATCGAATCCGTCGCTTTGGGAGGCAAGGCAAACAAGAACGCCTTGACCGGGGTCTATATGGGAACAGCACATTCCTTCTTGGTGGTAGTTTGTCAATAAGGGATCTTCTCCATATGTCTGTATTCGTCGGACTTGTAAAATCAACGGCTGTGGTCGGTTCTGAAAGGCTATCAACCTTGCCATCCACCTGTAAACCCCGAAACCGCTTTGAATTAATTGCACCATGGTGGCGGGCACGAGGCCTGTGCCCGGTAACCTTCACTTTTGTCGATGCTTGGGCATCCTGATGTCGTTGGTCTTTGGAGGTTACCGCTAACCCAGCAGCGTTGAACTCGGAACGAAAAGGGAGTAACGCAGATACCGTGCGCAAAGTCGCTGAAGATTTGGAAGGTGTCGGCGTGAATGTGGGAGACTTCCCTGCCGCGCCGACAATTTCCGCATACCGCTGGAGTTCCCTTGTGAACGTATCAAGTGCCTTGACTTGGCTCGGAGATCGGGACGCATTGTCTTGGGAATTTCGCGAAGAATCTGCGGGTCTATCTAGATTCTTTGGCGAGTTTACCTGGGACATAGCGCTAATTTGTTCCGCGACGCTCTTTGTTATTATGTTGATCAAGTCAGTGTCTACGTGGCTGCGCCTCGGAGACCTTGAACTCGCCACGCCTTTTGCTGTGATAGAGCTTGGGCTATGGCAATATGAGTCTGTGTTTATCGAAGGGTTCTTGGATGGCAATTTTCTATTATAAACCTGCTGCCTCAGAAGAGCTCTCGCTGAAGATGAGTCGTTCGTCGATTTGTATATTTTGGTAGTCTCCGTTGCACCATTGTGGACCGAAGATTGCAAGGGAAATAGGTTATTATTGTGCGAAGGCGGAAGAGGGAATGAATCAATATCAATAGTGCCGTCTGATTGCGCCGATATGCTCTGAGATGGTGAATCCGGTTCAGCGATGTCTGCAAAAGTGGCCTTCCTTTCTTGAGCGCCAGAGCCATCTTGTTTTGTTGCTGAGATTTCTGCTGCCCTACTTCCACTATACGAAGCCGCCGGGGTACCTTTTCCAAAAGATTTCGAGTTCTGGTAGTTCTGGTTTTGCTGAGCCGTCGATTGCGGGGAGACAATTCTTCGCTGAGGCCGGGACGGGTGCCTGGAAATGATCAAAACACGAGAGCGGCGTCGAGCTCGTTCAAAGGAGGAGACCCGAGGTTGACGAGACTGGTTGGCCCTACTATCCAAGTTGGAATGAGAAACCTCTGGGATAGATGCTAACGGTGTCATTGTAAGAATTTTCCAAGAAAGATGGACATGCCCATGATGGTATGGGAAGGCCAAGGTGGAGTGGGAAATGACATATGTTGTGATCTTGGACCTTGAAAGAATTACTTTCCTTAGTCCAGGGAAACCGCGAGGCTGCTTCATGTACATTGTTAAGGAAGTCTATAGGATACATAGTGGGCAGGTAGCAGCGAGGTTGAGACTTCCATGAAAGATGAAAAGAAGTAAGATACGGAGAATATGCCTAAAATCGAGGCGCTGAATACACAATTCATTGCCTGTTTACGCTGGCAAAGAGTGGCTTCCTCGACATAATGTTGCGGGGATGCAATGAGGACGATATCGAGTAATCAGTGGATGTCCTTGATTCCCGGAGAGGCATAGGTTTCGAGTTGCCTGCGCCCTTTGCGGATGAGAAATTCAATGGCAGCGAAATCACGTTTGTCAAGAGCCAGATTCCGAGCGAATTCCGTCCTGCGATTGACTTGTTAGTAGGTAAGTTTACTTGAATACTCGTGCAAACTTGAGTCAAGGTGAATATAGAGGGCGTATGCTACCAACCTAGCAAACTGTTCAAAGTGCGCACGGGTGCTCTGCATCCAAGAAGGAAAGGGCATTAGTATATATACTCGGCAGTATTCAGGTTATAAGTCCAAGCATTCGATATTGCGATTGAAGTTACACAAGCTTACCTCGGGCTTCTTCCGACTCTCCCGTAAGCACCGGCGGTAGAGCGCCAGCACCTCTCTTTGCAGACCAGAAAGACGCATTGCGACCCGGGATAGCGATCGTTCCGGTCCGACACGCTTCGATGAAAGCTTTCGCCAATTGGATGCAGATGGGAAAAGCCAGTTCGGTAATGAAGTCAACGGGAAAAACAGCATGAAATTCTACCCTGCAGTTTACCGAGCACCCGTTAGGCTCTGAGATTCAAATACCCTATACACGATCAACACTACCTTATCTCATCCCCAGCTAAAAAGAGCACCAACCCCGGGAATAATCTATGGTTCTTGAGCTCTCCGTTTCTATTCCGTTATAGGTAATTAGCTCATCGGCTTCTTCAGGCTACTTCGGCGGCGATTCCTCCGATATCCCCTCCGGTTGTATTAATACCTACCACCGCCACTATCCGTCTTCTCAATTGCATCGTATATCTTCTCAATATCACAGATCTTGAAGCTCGGATTATCATCCGCAACTTGTCTTTACCAAATCACGAAATTCAGTACCCTCAGAAATTAAAAAAGATATGTCTGCATTTTCGGTAGGTGGACGAGTCTCATCAACCCCAGCACGTCATCCGGCTACCAATTGCACCTTGTCTCATGTTGCATCTCATCGCAGCATCAAAAGAACAAGTTTAAGAAGAAAAACGTGTACCGGAAAAATTAAGTAGATATGTCCACTGATACATTTTTCTCTTAGCGACTCGTCCGCTTCGTCGCGAGAGATGGCCGAACCTACCACGGCGACGCCATCCTCCCTCGGGGTATAACCGACATCGCAAAGGCCAAGCAAGCCCGGATCATAACCGGCGATATATTTGGACAGCATCAGGTCACTGACGAGGTCCTTGACATCGGCTTGCTTCTCGCACCACTCTCTTTGTCTCAGACCAGGACTGTCCGGTGCCTCGGCCTCAACTATGCACTCCACGCCAAGGAGTCGGGCATGGCAGAGCCCAAATTTCCCATTCTCTTCTACAAGCCCGTGACCGCCTTGGCCAGCGCCAGTGATCCTATTCCCATCAACTCCATGGCCCAGAAAGACACCGGAATTGACTACGAATGCGAGCTTGTTATTGTCATCGGCAAGCGCTGCAAGGAGGTGTCAGAGGCGGAAGCCCTGGACTATGTCCTCGGGTACGCCATCGGCAATGATGTTTCTCACCGTGACTGGCAGATCAAGAACGGGGGTAGCCAGTGGTCGCTCGGCAAGGGATTTGATGGCTGGGCGCCGTACGGCCCGGGTATTGTGAGTAGCCGGGTCATCAAGGACCCTCAGTCTCTCAAGATCTGGACCAAGGTGAACGGCGAGACTGTTCAGGTAAGTACTATCATAGGCCCTGAGCGGGGTTTCCGCGGCACCCAGACCTCCGGCTGACAGCGGTTCTGGGGAATTATAGGACGGCAACACATCCGATATGATCTTTAATGTGAGGAAGACGGTCTCATTTCTCAGCAACGCAGCAACTCTGTTGCCCGGAGACCTAATCTTCACCGGAACGTAAGTGATACTGGATCTTTTGAATAGCGATTAGCCTTATCGTGACACCCTGAGCTAACGTCTCGAAAGGCCATCTGGAGTAGGAATGGGCCGAAAACCTCAGGTCTGGCTCAAGGATGGTGATGTTGTCGAGGTTGGACTTGAGCAGGTTGGTACTTGGTAAGTCATCCCCTAGAGGGCCTTTGAAAGGCTGTCATCTTGGTGAAAGCCGAGGTGATAAATACTGATGGTAGCTAACTTGACCATAGCACCAACAAGGTGGAGTTTGTTAAACCAAGCTCTAAGCTGTAAGCTTTGGAGGTTTCCAGATTGCAAAGTGTTGCGTACCTTGAATGCGATTGTGATTGTGAGAGGGAGTGAGGCTGCACATTTCTTGGCAGAGGATTTATGCATTGTGGAATATAGAAACATTCGATCGCTTCCGATAGATGCAATGCATGCTGAAGGAGATTGCAGGGTTTGCATCCATCACATACGCGGCAGTTCGTGTTCATGGGAGCTTCGTGTTGACCCATTAATGCCCGGAATTTGCCAGACATAGAAGCCTGCGAGCTGGAGTTTGTCACTCAATCAAACCACTGCATCGGTACAGCATGCCGAATAGAGTATCATCCAAACAATGACCTTCCTGATGTAGGTATTCTTCAGATTTTGGGGGCCGTGAAGCTCATTCCAATTTACCTGATACTACCTGATATGGGTCCAGATGGCTTCACCAACAGCCAATCCTCCCAAGCAATAATCACAGTCACATTGGGGCGTCAAGGATCTCCTATGTGATCTCGAAGATAAGTACCCACATGAAACCAGAATTATTTGCTACATTCCAATTCTAGAATCAGTCTGTTGCTCGATAGTTTTTTTCCGCAACTGTCATCGCGTTCCGGGCTGCTTCTGACTGGTTCTAGCGTGTGGATTGGTCGTGCATCTCATGAAGGCGTGCGTCCAACTGAGGTTCCTATTGGACCCTCCCCCAGCTCGTTTCCTGAACCATGGTGCCTGGAATAGGACCACCGAAAAGCCATCGGGCACTCTCGTAGCTCATCCCCACCCACATCGCACGCAAGAAGGACGCCAGTGGAACAAGTGCGCCCGGCCAGGCAGCCTGCAGCCGTGTACGGGCGGGTCCACGGACTCATCTGCCTGTATGCATAGGTACTCTGGGCTAATTGATGAATGGCCCAGTGGACCAGGGATTCCAACAGAGCACCTCGTGAGTGCGGCTGACGGCGTGTTTGCCTGCTTGGTCGGTACCAGAGCTTGCATTTCTAGGCACGCCAGTCGAGGCAGTGTTGCACGATCTCATTGGCCAAGGCTTCTGCAAATCTGCCCATGCGCCTGTAGTGCCTCCTTTCCTGCAGGGCTGATGGGCGTTTTCCTTCCCGCTATCGCCCAGATTGATATGTAAGATGTGGTGAGCCCAACGTGCTGCTGCATACAACAGACAGCCACCTCTCCTCTGCCGCCGTGTCCTCTCCTCAAATAGGTCGCGTGCCTTGTCCCGTATGCACACCAGTCTGTCATTGTTGAAACTTCGCCCATTTCACTCCATAGGCTCTTCAGTCTAACCCCCCTTGAGGGGCCACCTACTGAAACGGACGAGGATTGCCACCACCATGGCCACCTTCCTGGGAATCGGAGAGAAAAAGATCATGCCGGGCACATATGAGCCTACGGACTTTGAGGATCTCGAATCCAACCCCTTCGAGCTCCTGACGCAGTTTCAGGATGAGTGGAGGAATAGAGAGCGGCCGGATGCATGGTCGACAAAGAACCTAACTGCCCTGGATCTCACTGACGTGGACTGGCAAGCCTATAATCCACCTGCTTCTGTTTTCAACTTATCAGGTGTTGACTCTCAGTTGCTGGCCAAAATAATCCACACTTCAGTTGAGAATGTCAACGCTAGGTCGGCGCACGAAAGGGGGCAGAGGCTGGAAATCGAGGAGCTACGCGCTGCAGCTGAAAAGCAGGCGGCGCAGAAGCCAAAGGAGATCGAATACCTCCCTATTATCATCCCGCCCGAACGTCCAGAACCTTCCGATGCAGATTCAATCGCTGGTTCAGAAAATGCATCCATTGCTCGGATGCAAGCCATTAATGCACTTAATGACGGTGGGAGGCGACCTTCACAAGCCTCGTCAATGACCGACCCCTCCAACAAGTCCATCAAAGGTCGCAAGGGACGTTTTAGAAAGTTACTCGATCGTGTTGGCGACTTTGGCGAAACGGGTTCCTCAGGTAGACTTGGCTTGCTCCCACCACTTCCTCCTTCGGACCTTGTTGGAGAGAATGCTCTGCCATTCCCCAATAGCCTACAGTCTGGATCCCGGCAAGGACATAGAGGCTCTACGATCCAGGAACTTGGTGCCACAATTAGGGCTAATATCGAAATGTTGCAATCCAGGTCAACGTCGATTTACGAGTTGAGCTCCGTTATCCCGGTCCAGGAATTGCCTGGAAGCACCGTAATGCCCAGATCGAAATCGGTCAAACACCCTCCCCCACCACCCGCAATGGTGTAAGTAATACTCCTCTTAAATGAACACATCAATTTCGTATTCATGAGCTAATTGATTCGTAAAGGGAATGCGTTTCGTGCTTGGAAGAGTTCCCTCCTGGGAACGTGGTCAAGGTTCCGTGCCATAGCTACTGCCACGAGTGTTTTGCTGGATTGATCTCTGCTGCTTGCCGAAATGAACAGCAATGGCCGCCCAAATGTTGTCTGAATGAGATCCCCTTCCGCACTATCCTGCGATACGTTCCCAAAGACTTGAAGCAGAAGTTTCAGGATCGGTCTTCAGAGTGGAATGTCCCTGTTAACGAGCGCATCTACTGCAGCACTCCTGACTGCAGCCTTTGGATAAGCCCAGAAAATATCCGCAAGAACGCAAACAAGGCACGTTGCGAGCGCGGTCATTGGACTTGTACTATATGCCGAGGTCCTCAGCATGACCGGGGAGAATGCCCCCAAGATCGGGACATGAATCTGACTAACCAGCTTGCGGAGGAAGAAGGATGGAAGCGATGTTACAACTGCCGAGCCTTGGTAGAGCACAAGGAGGCCTGTCAGCACATGACTTGTAGGTGCGGAAGCCAGTTCTGTTATGTGTGCGGCTTGCGATGGAAGACCTGTGGCTGTACGATGGAGCAATTAAAACAAGTCAAGGACGCCGCTGCAGCCCGTAAGGAGGGCCGTCAACGTAAGGAGGCGCAAGAGTCAGAGGAGCTACGACAAATGCTCGCCGAGATCGCGGAATTCGAGCGCCAAGAGGCCCTCAAAGCCGAGATGGAAAGGCAAGAGAATATCCGGCTAGAGGAGCTTCGCCAGCAGCAGGAGCTTTTGGAACGGGTTCGATTGGAGTGTATTCGAAGACTGGAAATTGAGGCCAAGTTCCTTGAGCTGCGAGTGGCGCTCGACCGGCTCCATGACCGGCAGGTGATCCTGCTCGCCGAGGAACAGGTCGAGGCAGAAGCAAAATTAGCGGAAGACTATGAAGCTGCTAAAGTGCGGCTCGAACAGAAGCAAGTCGAAGACCGC